GGACACTAAACAAATTGTGAATAAAAACTGAATGCAATGATGTGGAGGTGCCAACATCTAATATTTTATTCAGAATAGAACACAAATCACAGATCAAAAGTTTAAACTGAGAGAATGTATCATTTTAAGGGAAAAATCTGTTGTTTCCAAATTTCATGGCATCAACAAATCCCAAAAAAGTTGGAACAAGTAGCAATAAGTGGCTGGAAAAAGGAAATTGTTCATATAACGAACAGCTGGAAGACCAATTAACACTAATTAGGTCAATTGACAACATGATTGGGTATAAAAAAGAGCTTCTCAGAGTGTCAGTGTCTCTCAGAAGCCAAGATGGTAATATGATCACCAATTCCACCATTGTTGCGCAGAAAGATAGTGCAGCAATACCAGAATGGTGTTACCCAGCGTAAAATAGCAAAGACTTTTAAGTTATCATCATCAACTGTGCATAACATGTATATATGTATATATACATACTGTATATATGTACTTTTTTCCTTCATTTCCAGAACTTCACAGTCGCAACGATTTCAAGCGTCCCACTAGTTCAAAGGTCCTTAAAGGCTTCAAAAGTGAAGGACGGTGTTGTATTTGATGTGAGTGGCTGCAGAGCGTCAGGTGGGTGAATCTGGTGTAAAACACAAGTCCAGAATTTGACGTTGCAGCTTTTTCAAGTACTGTGATTTAAAGTTTGCACTTGAATTTGTGAAGTGTTTTATTTTATTTTTACTGATTCCTATCTCTTTCTGTTAGACTTGATTTTACAATCGGGTCAGTCGAAATATATTGAGGAGACCTGCGTCAACATCAGCTGCAGTCCCTCTGCAGAGCTCAGTGTGGACAACACCTGTGGACCTGCAGAGGTTTGCCGGGGAAACACCGGGTGAATAAAACTACAGACTACTAATGTCTGAGTTCTGAATGACTTTATTAAAATTTTATAAAGCTGAAACCAAGTTATTCAAGCTAACAAGCAGGACAACAGCCAAAAGTTAACACAAACAGAACACTAACTAAAAGAAAAAGAAGAAACCCTAAAAAGCACAACTCAAAACACAAGCTAAAGGCCAAAAGTAACAAAAAGGCAACTATACGTAGAAAACCATTAGCTAAAAGGTGTAAGTAGGAAAACATTAGCTAAAAGTAGCAAAACATTAGGGAAAATCTAAACGTAGCAATAGGCTTACTAGAAGCTAAAAGTAGCTAAAGAAATCTAATGATAGCTAAAGGCTAGCTAAAAGCAGTTTATTATAACAAAAACCTACATGAAAATGAAAAGTAGCAGAAGCCTAGCTAAAAGCTAATAAAACAAATAAGGCAACTCATCTCAATCTTCCACTTCACGCAATACCAGAGGATATAATAGTACTACCAACAGCTTTACAGATGGAAAGTATCCAACACTTCTAAATATGAACTCTAAAATAAAACAGGAAGAAATAAAAGACTGACAGCTGCAGTAACAAGAAAGTTCAAAAAGTAAGTGATAAAGGAGATTTGGGTTGCGCAGATCCTCAGCAGCTTTAACACTTGCAGATAAGTTAAAGAGCTTAATGTAATCACAGAACAATTTAAATATTAGAAACAACTAAATATAATCATGCATATTGTAAAAAGTATGTAAAATTAAACTGTTTAGGACAAGTCCCTAGTTAATGACGGAATTACGCTGTATGCTAAACACTGTTAACTGCGATGCACAATATCAAAACTTGAACACGGGAAAGTGAAAACCAGAGGAGTTATAATCTTTGGGGGGGGGGGGGGGGGGGAGTCAGCAGTTTATTTCAGTACTTTTCTATTAAATCTGTTCTTTTCCGTCTCTCTCAGGTGTGCTCCTCGCCTCAACATGTGTGTTGTAACCGGCTCCACGGTCATCGATTTCTTCAACAGAGTCCACTCTGTCACAAACCGATGCACTTACAGTCTGATAAAACCTCAGGGAGGATCTGACTTCCAGCTGCTCGCAGGTTTCCAGGAGCGAAGGCAACAAAATGTGATGTTTTTAGATCACCTGATACTGCAGATGGAGGAGACAGATGTTGTAGTGTATCTGGGACAAGGAGGGCTGGTTGAGGTGAGGAACATTGCAGACGATTCATTTTATATCCCTTTGATTTCATCAAACAATCAATTTGATTTTATTTTATAGCAAAAATTATGCTGCATCTGACATAGAAGATATTTGAACTTGGGTTTGGATTGTTTATTTATTGGTATTCTGTGAAGGCAGCTATTGTGGCAGCTCAAAATTCAAAACTGTATTTTCATAAACGCACATTGTTTTTCATTGCATAAACGTCGCTCCGCCCTATAAGTCGCGTCAGTCCAACTATGTCTAATAAAGTGGAAAAATCCATAAATATGTCGCTTTGCCGTATACGTCGCATCTATTATGCATCACCACTGATGCGTCGCATTTGTTACGCGTCACCGCTGACAACCCCAAAATGTGGAACAGTGTTGTGCCAAAAATCAATGGGCTGCCAAACGGCTGCCGCGGGAGCATGCACGGGAGGATTTTAACAAGAATTTAACAAGATTAACACTTAAAAACAATTATTTGTTTACTCAAAATTATAGTAAAGGTGTGTCTCAGTTGAACTTTTCCTTAATAAATGCACTTTGACGGTCAAATCGGCTGCATTTTGCCAGGGCAGCGCAGCAAAATGCAGCTGATTTGGTTGCTCCAGGCAGATGACGGTGGCTTACTTTGGCAAGCCGATTGTGTCATTAACAGGTACTTTTACCTATTACATGAAACAGCGGCATGCCTTACTACTCAAGTGCCATCTAGCGGCTGAAAATGGTAGTGTTCAATATTTTCAGTCAGAATGAATGAAAATGGTCATATCTCAGCCAAAAATTGATTTATAAATATGGGAAAAAAATCCATCAATATGTCGCTTTGGCGTATAAGTCACAGGGCATGCAAATTATGCAAAAAACTGTGACTTATACATTAGAAAAATACAGCATACTTTGCATTGTATTGCACACTGCATCTCTTTTCACCATATTACCAAGTTGAGTTTTGTGTCCAAGCTGCAGGTGTGACTTGAGCATAAATGAAATTTTCTGTGTGTATAGTAAAAAAAAAAAATCAAATTTAAATGCTAACTTCAAAAAAGCAAATCACATGTATGGCTGTATATGTGCTTTTTAAGTTATATAATTAATTGTGCTGTAGGTGAATAATGAAACCCTAGACCTGAACGCCACAGCTCAGCTGGTCCATGGCATGGAGCTCTCTAAGGACCATTCTGGAGTCACTGCTAATGTACCTTTTGCCAACATCACCATCTATTTTGATGGTAACGCTGTTCATGTGGCAGGTAAAGAGCACTACACTCCATTTTTACCATAGAAAGTGATGGGGGATGTAAAGGTCATGGATGTTTTTCACTTACTAATGTCAAATGAATAACCGTGTATGTGAGTTAGTTGTTTTGTCTGAACAAAGTGGAGCCTGCGTACCTGACAAACTTCAAGACCCCTAAGCTGGAAAGCAGAATTGTCTTGACCTCACCTTTTCTGATAAGCTTATAAGTTGATGCTCCTTTATGCTGTCCGTGGGCAGACCTTGTGATCCGGGCGACGTATAACACCTTGCATGCTGGTTTCCAATTGCTGCTCCTCTTGCAAGATTAAACCTGGGTTGTAAAGATCTAGTTTTCTTTGCGTGGCTTATTTGTTTAATTAGTTGATGATAGGATAATTAAATTATCTAACAGAAAGCTGCCAAACAGGAAAAAAAAAATCCTAATTCATTTATGATCGTCTCCTGTTGCTGAACAGGAAATCCTTCAGCTGCTGAAGGTTTGTGCGGAAACCCCGGGAATTCCAGTCAAAACACCACCCTGAGTGCCGAGACCTCCAGTTTTTACAGCATCTCAGGGTACAACAGCCACACAGATCCACAGATTGAGATGTTTATGGATTTATAATGAACCTTTTGTGTCCTCCTTCAGATGTGAGGTGGAGTTCACAGAAACTATTATTGACAAAATCGACTGCAACGCCACAACTGAGCAGTAAGTTCACACATCTCGTATTTATCACATCTCAGGGCACAGTTAGTCTTAAATCCTATGGTAATAATAAAACTGTGATTCTTCCTGAAACAGCTGCAGTCTTTTAAAGCAGGCCCCCTTCTACATTTACAACTTGGTCACTGACCCAGAACCCTACATAACTGCCTGCACAAACACTTTGTGTAATTATCCAATGGTGGACGGCCTTGGTTGCCAGTTCATGGAGGCTTACGCCAAGTCCTGCAGCTTGCAGCTGGGAAAGAAACTGACAGACTGGAGACCAGCAGTCAACTGCCGTAAGATTAGACTTTATTTTGTGGTTCCAACAAAAGAATTGGGAAGGAAATAAATACAGCAACACTTAGATTTAGACCAGCACAACCTTCTCTTATCCAAGTGGAGGCAATTCCAGTGAATAAGATGGAATTTCTTACAATAATTTATTACCAGGTAGCTTACATTTTTTACTTTTAACATTGGATTTTATTGTGCACTTTAGTGTGTATAATACTTGTATTGTTTGAAATTTCATTTTATGTAAAAGTGCGATGGACAAAATGCACAGAAAGAAGGTAAAATATGTTAATGGGGTAAAATGACCATCAGATGCCTGTTTGTTATCAACATTTTAATGTTAATTGTAACTACATTTGCAGCTTTAAAAGTGAATAGTAAAAAGAAATAGCAAAAATGTGTGGAGTTCAGTAAAAGTACAAGCAGGGCATAAAATGGCAAGATGTTTTATTTTCATGTCATTAATCCACGGTTTGTCTTTACTTTCTTTAGCTGATGTTCCTGAGCCGAACTGTTGGAACCAATACTGCAGCGATCATGAGTTCTGTGGAGAGGAAAACAATCAAACCCGATGCATGTGCCGAGCCATTTTCGCTTCCAATTACAGAGCAGCAAATACTTTAGGTACAGTGACAAAACTCTGATGTAAACACTCAGATATGCTTTAAAAGAAAGGTTAGTTAGAAGGAAATTTGCTAATGGTGGCAGGGGATTTTTCAAATAAAAATATAATTACTTGTTCAGTTAATTTATTTTAATTCCAATTAACTGTAGTTTGGTGCATATTTAATCTCAGGTAAGGAAAACCTCTAAAGTAACATCTAAAGTCAAGGTAAATGTGATCAAATTCCTTTCAATTTAAAACCATCTTATTCGCTATTTAAGGCGGCACGATGGCGCAGTTGGTAGAGTTGGCTTCTCGGCAAGCAGGTTGCTGGATCGAATCCCAGCTGGGGGTCTTTCTGGGTGGAGTTTGCATGTTCTCTCCGTGCATGCGTGGGTTTTCTCCGAGTACTACGGTTTCCTCCCACAGACCAAAAACATACATGTTAGGCTGAATGGTAACTCTAAATTGTCTCTAGGTGTGAGTGAGAGAGTGAATGATTGTTTGTTTATAAATATGCGAACAAAATATAACTCCTAATACCTCTCAAATTTGACGCCACTCTGTTTTTTGTTTTTAATTCCAGAAGAAGAAGAAGAAGAAGTGTCTTCTTCAGAGGTTTTTGTGTCGTTTCTTTCAGTTGTTCTTGGTGCAGCGCCACCACAGGCGAGTGGGGGAACAGTTTGGTTTGAACAGGTTGGCTCGACTGCACAGTGCAGTGTGAATGCAAACGCAACAGCTCAAATGTAAACAAAATGCTATGAATATTGGTCCCCAACCGAACAGAGTCTACCGGACTATCAGGTGTGAAAACAACCTTATACTTCTCTCGGCTCAGCCAGGTTCACAGAGTTCAGGAGGAACTGGCTACAACCGTTTTACGCAGTGCTCTCCATTAATTCAAAAATACGGTTCATCGGCAGAGTTTAGATAGTGTCCCAGGTCACGGTTTCGACTTGTTTTGGGCTTGTTTTCTCAGGCAGAGGGGAAGAATGTTCCCAGCCATAGTAATAAAACCATCCATTAACTGCTTTGACCAAAGTTTCCCTGACATACACATTTCCTTAATTTTTGTTCTACATATACCGTAGTTTGTTCTTAAAGTTTTAATGTCCAGATTAGAATGTTGCACATTAGGGTTTTTGTTGTTGTTGTTTTTTTTTTTACAATTTTCTGCAACATAAACATGGTTTTGTACTTATTAACACATCCCAGGTATGTTATGTCCATATGAATGAACATTTTTTGTGATATTCTGATTAGATACATGTGTTTATCTCTGTTTGGTGTTCAGGTGAGCCGGCCATCTGCACTGAGACCTCTGCCTCTGTGACTCTGATTGGTTGTCTGTTGGAGGAGAGAGGCATAGACTATATCTCTATGCACCTGCAGAATGAGACCTGCATGGGAGAGGTGGACAATAAGACCCACATGGTGGTCTTCAGCTTCGACCTGAAGAACAACACCTGTGGATTGAAAGTCATAGTGGGTATCTCCTCAACAAAACAGAGCTGTTTTTCTTATTTTTCGTTTCTAGACTCTCAAAATATCTTAATGTGAAAGTTATCTGACTCTGTATCTTTGTTCGTTGTTTCATAAACGTCCCAATCCAGATAAATGAGAGTCATATCATCTACCGGAACACCATCATGTCTGGAAACAGCCCATCGGATGGCATCATCTATCGACACAGTCAAGTGTTGGTTGATTTTTCCTGCTACTACGATAAACCTGCCATCAAGACTGTGGGCTTCAAACTCAAAGACAGGTGTGTGGAGATTCACCTGGTGGGTAAAGTTCTGGATGAAGCTCAGTGTCAGCTGATGGTTGTATTTTCCAGCTCTGTGGTGCTGAAGATGGTTTCTGGTTCTTGGAATTACACTTTAATGATGAACGCCTACACCAATCCTAATCGCACGCAGCTGGTAGATCCAAACTTTGTGGTTGAGCTGAACCAGAAGGTCTGGGTGGAGCTGACGACTCAAGGGTTGAACAGTGACAAGGTTGCTATTGTGATCGACTCCTGTTGGGCAACAAGCCAACCAGCGCCTGATGGAAGTCTGAAACACGACCTGATCACTGGCGGGTGAGAAACAGAATTGAGACTCAGTAGGGTGAAAGGTCAAGGCTCCTGCTCTGATGTCAGGATGTTTCATTGCAGGTGTCCAAACACCAAAGACCCGACCGTGGAGATAAACAACAATGGAGCAGGAACTTCTGCGTATTTCTCCTTCAACATGTTTCAGTTCATTGGGAGTGAAGATGGAGTCTTCCTTCACTGCAAACTGAACGTCTGTACCAAACAGGGAAACTCCTGCAGCCAGGTCAGAACTGATGCAGGAAATAATCTGCTGTTTGAATTAAAGAATAAAAGCTTGTACATCAACAAGCTTGACTTCAAGGAAAATATCAGTGATTCACTTTCGTGGGATCAGTTTAGCGACGGAGCTGCTTATTTCTTCTTTAGAGTCAATCAGTTCAACCATCACAAATCTTGAGCCCTAATCTGAAACTTATCAACAGATCATTTAACGAGTCAACCAGGTAAGCATTTTTAGAAACCCTCTGAAGATTTCGATCCTGTAGAGATGAAAAATAAAAATGAAAATCCAAACTTTTAAATGTTTAATATGAAGAACAGAAAAATCGAAGGAGAAAATGGTCAGAAATAAATACAACAAATACACAAAAAAGCCTTGCTTTGAGAGGGAATAATGGAAATGAGTGTACAAGACACTTAAATACCAACACCATAACATAATCGAATGGCTTGAAAATGCTAATAAATAAATACATTTAAAAATAATAATAATAAGAAGAATCCAACATGATTTAAACTTAATCAAATGGAATGCAATGACAATTCTGACCATGGAAATAAGGATGTTAGTTTACCCCAATACATTTTAAAAATGGTTACAAATCAATGCAAAATCACCGAAATAAAAAGCAACGTGTCCATTCGTCCGTCCGTCCGTCCGTCCGTCCGTCCGTCCGTCCGTCCGTCCGTCCGTCCGTCCGTCCGTCCGTC